ATATATATATATATATATATATATATATATATATATATATATATATATATATATATATATATATAAAGAACCAAAGAACAAAAATATATATATATATTTATATATATATATATATTATTTTTTTTGTGTGCTGCAGCATATGGGCATTGGCCGAGGCTTTGGCTCAGGGTTACTCTGTGGATCGGCTGCACGAGTTGACGCGTATCGATCCCTGGTTCATCTCCAAGCTGCAGCACATACAGCAGCTCAAGCAGCAGCTAGCCACCAAAACTCTATACCAGCTCACCAAAGCAGACCTCATCTTTGTTAAAAAATACGGTACAAATATACACAGCTAGCTAGCTAGCTAGCTAGCTAGCTGGCTAGCTAGCTGCTGCTGTGGGTGGGGCTAGGCGGGGAGGCGCAGTAAATACAGAAGCACCCGTTGGTGATACTGCCTAGAAGGGGAACGTGACGCTAGCTAGCTAGCTAGCTAGCTGGCTAGCTAGATGGCTAGCTAGCTAGCTAGCTAGCTGTGGCTAGCTGCGTGGCCTGGTGGATTGTTTAAAAACTCGTAGAGACAGTTGTGCAGCAGCAGGTGGCAGGCGGGAGTGTTGTCTCCTTTTTCTTTAGTTTTTTTTGTTTTGTTTTTTTTTTGTTTTTGTTTTTTTCTTTATATTTGTTGTTTTATTTATTTTTATTTTTGCTTTTATAATTCTTTCTGCTGTTTGTCTCGGTGTCTGTGGTGTATGCTCACCTATGCAGTAGCTGGCGTGAGTCTGCGGTGTATGCGCAGCTGCATGTGTAAATAAATAAAAAAAAAAGAAAAAAAAATTAAATTAAATTAAATTAATTAAAAAAAATAAATTAAATAAAATTAATACAATTGATAATCCTAAACCCTAAACCCTAAACCCTAAACCCTGCTGAAACGTGATAAAAAAGGAAAGACAAACCGCAACATAAACGAATTGTATTAAATTAATTAATTTATTTTATTTTGTTTTTTTATTTTATTTTATTTATTTTATTTTATTTTATTTTTTATCAGGTTTCAGTGACCGGCAGATTGCTGCATACATTGGCCGCAACGTGGATCCTTGCAGCAGCATCAGCAGCAGCATCAGCAGCAGCAACAGCAACAGCAGCAACAGCAGCAGCAACAGCAGCAGCAACAGCAACAGCAGCAGCAGCAGCAGCAGTCGGCGTGTGTATGAGGAGGAGGTTTGGGTGTATAGACAGCTGCTGGGTGTGAAGCCCGTGATAAAACAAATAGATACACTTGCAGCAGAATTCCCAGCACAAACAAATTATCTTTATTTAACTTTTTGTGGAGAAGAGAACGATGTACAGCCTCTACATAAAACTGAA